TGATGTGTGTACTTATGTACGCACGTAAGAAATTATACTTCTTTAGCGTACCAAAACGAATCATAACCTCAATAACCTCAAAAATAACTTCAATTATCTCGCATACTAATATAATACTCTAAATTTGTCGAAAAGACGATAATATGATAAAATAAAATGAAGATATTAAATACCATTGATAAATGTTTTAATTAATATGTACAATCTAATTTATTTATTTACGAATTATTTCAAGCCGTAAATTTGAAATTGCTTTGCCCGCGCCTCGCGTAAATATCGACGACAACTTCGTGGTGTCGATTTTTCGGTCGCATTTAACTTCACTTATCCAAAACACGCCAAAAAAAGTATAACTTCAAAAAAACAACAAGCAAGCAACCAGCAAACACCAATCGTACATTTATATTTTCGTCTGGAACAATTATTTTCCGTTCCTTTTCGTAACCACGTCAGCAAGTTGGGCTGTGAGACGGGGGGGTGGAGGAAGGGAGGGTTAGTAGAACGTTGTTGTTTTTCTTTTCTTCTTCTTCTTCATATTCTTCTCCTTTTTTTCTCTGTTTTTATTTGTTTGTTTTAATTAGCACCGTTAATTTGCGTAAGTGCACGATCGCGTGCCTCATCTAACGCATCGAGGAGAAGGAGGAGGGGGTGGGTGGTGGTGGGGGTGGTTAGGGGGAGATGAAGTTTTGCTCATTACTTTAAGTAGCAAATACCCACGTCGACGGCCCTGGCAATTTACGATTGTCCGGTTGAGTGCGGTCGATTTTCCATGGATTACGAGTATAACTATACCTATCTTCAAGTATATGTCTTCATATATATATATATATGTATGAAGTATATAGTATATAGTATATTGTAGACGTGTATATTCCGTTTAACATGGAAGACACGCTGATGTATGGCTGCCCGGTCAAAGTTCTTGCCAAACACTCGTTAGACGAAGGCTGCCGAGGCAAAGGGCGAAACAGCCGACGTTTCTCTCCCTTTTACTCTTACAAACCTTCTTCATCCCCCAACTTCCATCCCCCAACCCCATACCTCCAAACCCCCATTCTCCACTCCCCCCTGCTCACGGAACACTCCGACTCTTCGTTTTTCCAACGAAACTTACAAGGGATAAGAATGAACCAGTAAGAGGAGGAATACTGTGGGGTGAAGGGGGTAGGTAAGGGGGTGGGTTGGGATCGGAGTTGGCTTCGAAGGCGGCACGTTCGAGACAAGCTTGTCTCTTCGTGTTTAACGCGAATTAAAGGGACAAACAACTGGGCCCCCGTTTGGATTGGGCTCGTTTTGATTTTCCAAAGGAAATTCTATTTGGAAATTTTTCTTCTTCTCTTTTATTCTTTTTTTTTTTTCTTTTTCTTGATTTCAATTCTTTCATTTATT